CCCCGCCTACTTCGTATATAAGCAGCGCCTTTCACTTCCTATCACTACAGCTACTGCTCTCTGCATTCCAAACCATTCACCTGCTCTGAAGATGGAGGCGATACGTTCCTCCGAAACGTCGGCCAAAACGAAGAATACACAGCGCCTAAACCCAGAAGACGACTTTCTTCACTGACAGCTAGATGTTTACACCAGTAGACACACTATACAATTGCTAAAACAATGGAGAATTTGCACAACAGGTGCAATGTGTGCACACACATTCATACATATATAGCAGTTCTCCACAGAATCTAATCTACACTGCTTTATAACCAGTGCAAGAAAACATTTCACATTTCTTTAATGTCTGAAAGGAAAATCTGTGTGAAGTAGGCGACTATGAAAACATCTACAGCTTCTCATGAAACAGAACTATTCATTACTCCTTCCCATGCTAGACACAACATGCATTTTTAGCGATACAAAGTATGTTAACATGGAAATGTAGTAACAAAGGTTTTTAAATGAAAAGCAGTTTGAAAAGAATTAAATTCCATATTGATATAAACCTTCTTTCAGATGTGTGTGACTGGAATGGTTTCTAATTGACAGTGACATGACACCATGCAGGAAAGTCTCTCGAAGTCAGAAAAGTGTGAAAAGATAATATGCCCACCAATTTATTTTTATCTTCTCATCATGATGACATAATCTTCCAGGTGTGACTGTTTCTTTCCTTGCAAACTCTTTTTCCTTGAACACTACACCTGAAGATACATCTTTTCACCATGTAATATGGATCACATGTTACTGATTTGGCTTCCACCAGTCCAGTTTATGGTTCTGTGGATCTTTTCTTAACATGAGCTTGTCATATAATATGAAGGTACAGAAGATACTTGTCGTTGTTTACTTTCCAAACAGTACGGACAATTCTTCGTAAAATGACGCATGGATTATATTATTAACCCTTTGACGTGGTCATTTAAATTCCGCGGCCGCGGNCTATACTATTAATTAATTTGCAACATCATGGACCTCATACATTCTTATATAAAAGAAATATCAAATTTCCAATTTGTCCATGGAAACATACGAAAAGTAATAAATCAGTGACTGATTAGATGTTATATAACATCAATTAAATTTTATCTTGTTTTATACAATAACTCTTAGTTTTTATGTAATCTGACTTATTGTATTTTTACGCAAAGTATTTAAATGATTAATAACACTGTATCCAATCTAATGTACTGCAGTTCAATGGTATATGTTTGTTAATATGTGTTTGCTTGATGATGGCCGTTAGTGGCTGAAACATGTAGCGAAACTATAGCAGAGCGCTGACCTTGATTTTTTCTGTTTGTTGTGTTGTGATGGTTCAATAAAGTTGTCTACAAAAATGCAAGTTTTGACATAAGCCTTAAAAACATTTTAGGTAGGAGCAATGATCACCAAGGTCATAATGCGCAAAAGAAACAGCTGTCTGAATTATCACATTATTCTGAATTGGTGACATTTCACTATCAAATGTAAAATATCGTTATTAATTTAAATTTTTTTAAGATCTCATTCGGCAAGTGGTTAATTCTTTCAAGCTTCTGTGCCTGAAGACAACAGTTTTTTAAATAAACACATTGAACAAAACCTGTGTGATGAAGAACTGAACCTAGAAAACTTTCCTGTCATGAGCAAAACATTCCAAGCTATATCTAACATTCTGCCATTATACCCAAGGTCTGTTCTTGGATGGGAACCGTTATTTTATTTTTCTACAGTACAATATGGACTTACTGATAATGGCAATCTTTTAAATCACAATGCAGGACATGTCACTTCAATGTGACTAGTAGATGTGACAACTGTGGCCGCAATGTATGTTAAGATGCCAATCATATATTACTTCCTGTAGACGGTTAGAGTGGCCATAATCACAGCACCACTAAATAACATACAACATGTCAATACTTACAAAATAACTGTTTTTCATACTAAAATAACTTCAAAATTTTCATTTTTAAAAGATTAATAATTTTTACACAAATATACTGCACCATAAAAATGACTTAAATATCAGGCACTGCCTATTTTATTTAACAAGTTGACAGAATTGATTTATGCTGTATGGCTACCATAGCATTTTATTCTTGATGACTGCCAAAGTTAAATTCAAATACCACCATGTCAAAACAATATTCCCCTTACAGATTATTCCATACACCTGCAGCTGCCATATGATGAAAAGAAATTTTATAAGTTTTCACAGGTGGACAAGATCGTATAGTCCAGACAACACACCAAGTTGGTTTACTTCTGCACTTTTGTGGTCCCACACCCAGAATCACAAGATGTAAATACTGTATTTGTAAAGAAAAGGACATTAGGTTTTCCCATTCACCATGACGTCTGCTGTTCACAAAAATAAAATTATATTATAATTGCTTATCTCATTAAATACAAGAAGTGCCACAACATGACAGATTCTTAAAACTCAGCCACAGTGATTCCAAATTCCTGTAGCTCTGTATTTGACACTTTCTGGCAACATGGACAAAAATTGTGTACCAAAAATCTACAACACTCCCAGTTACACAGATATGCTGCCTTCTCGGAATTTGCTGCTCCCAATCAATGTATTGATCAATACAGTGTGTCCCTCCCTACACAATGACTGAGCAGCCTTCAGAATGGAACTTAAGTCAGCTGAATCCTCTGATACTAAAAAACCTTTCCCTCCATATCCTTTGGATACTTCCTGGTAGTCAGTATACTGCAAGTAAAGAACATATGACATAATTATGTTCCTAGCACTTGTGTTTCTGCATGTGCAAAAATAGACATACAAATATGACTGATATGACTACAGAGACAGAAAAGCAGGACTGCAGTTAGACCAATGTCTGAAGGCTAATGCATAGCACTAAGTTGACTCAGGTTTGAGACCTGGTTGGTCTGTGTTAGATTTATGGCAGATAAAAGTAAATTTGGGTAGGTTTTTGTAAAGTCTTTTAATGTTTTCTACTATTTTTATGCAATTTCTCCACATCACCTAGATGACTTATCCACATTAACTCATTTAGTACCATACTGAAAATCAGTCTTAGACCACTAGGCAGACTGCAATAAGACCACAACATAAACAAATTCCTTTATTTTTACTTCAGTGTCAAACACTGACTACTTCATATAAATCAATGTACTTATGTCCCTCAGAATTACTGCCTTTTTGGACTCTGTCCATCACTTGGTATTATAAAAACTTGAGGGAACTGATATATAACATTAGGAAAATTTTCAAAACTAAATATACTCTTAGGATTTCACTCATAAAAACCAGGCCAGAATGAGATCTGCAATAGATGACAGTGCGTCTGTAGCATTCCCTGTGGATGTGGCAGAAGCTATACTGGTGAAACAGGTAGACCTCTAGCCGTGCAGTTCCAAGAACATAGGCACAATCTCAAAGAGGTTTTTCTATAAAAATTAGCCCAACATGCCTATGAAGAGAGTCATAGGGCAGGCCAGGATGTAGCTAGGAGTTGGAAACTGAAAGTAAAAGCAGGTATAGGAAATAATAGGAAACAAAATAAATGACCCACATGGCTTGCTTATCCAATCCTATCAGTCAATCCAGTTTTGACAACTACCACAAGTTTTATTGCACATTTTCCTGTTATCTCCCTTTGAAAAGGCTTGCACAACTGGTGGCTTCTCATGAAGGGCTCAGCTCCATGAAGTTGGTTAGTATCCATTATCTACAGATTATTGCAACTTAAACCCATATCAAGTTGAGGACTTACTGCGTAAGGGTTCAGTTTGTTTCTATACACAGAAGAATCACTAGCCACTAGTTTTTCTACTTTATCTTTAATAAAATATCTACTTACAGCAAGTTTGCAGGCCACACTGCTTCCAAAAAAAGGCACCTGTTCACGGGCAATTTGTGTCCATGCTGCATCATTACCAACCAAGGCAATGATGGGCACTTTGTGTCGGGTCATAGTATCAATTTCAGCCACACTGAATCCACATGATCCATCGCCATACAGGATCCACACTTCTGCATCTGGTCGACATAACTTTGCACCTAATGCAAAACCACCACCAACACCAAGAGTTCCAAATGCACCAGGATCCAGCCAGCTCAATGGCCCACGAGGTCTAAGGATACAAGAAAATAAAAGATTACAAGGAATAACAGTCATGCCATTCATACCTGCAGAATATGCTATTACCATTGAAACATTTCATTAGTTATTTAGGAAATCCTCTCTACATATGAAATTCATTTACGCAAACACATTTTCCAGAAAACAGCTGGAAAAACATAAAATAATTTACTCAGTACTTTCTTGGTCTCCCAAGTGGCAATATTCTACATGGAAGAATATAGTTCCTCATTTATAATAAATTATCAAAATGTTATTTGAAGCTAATTTAAACTTTGCCATAAATGTGATTTAAAACAGAACTTTCAGTTATTATATTCCCATTCTGACAATCAAAATATTACTCATCACTGCATCTACAGGAATCCAAAAAGCCTTATTAAAGTACATTTGGGATGCAGACAGTCCACATGTCACAAATAAGTTCAAGAAATTTAGACAGAACATTAAATGGTTTTCTCACCAAGTTTACTAATTGTGCCAGACATCATTTCTCAATTCACTCACAAGCTCTTATTATTTATGGTTTTATGGATGCCAGGCCCTATTTGAAAATATTATTTCATGGATGAATTTTATTATGCAGATCATACAAATCTGTAACATTCCATGCAAATAATGCCACTAAACAGTGGGCTTCGTGTAGTCCAAATAGTCAGACATGGAACAATATCAAATTAAACTGCATCAATACATTTCAATATCACAAATATTTGTGACTAGAGCAGAGTTTCACATGTGTATGGACAAGCTGTGATGACAAATCTTTCGTTCAAAATTAAACTCAGTCTGAAATAAAAAATACACTACACTTCTTTTCTTAGGGAAAGAAGCATGTCCTTACAGATGTGTTACTATGTACTGCAATGTGAACTATAAACACTATAAGTTAAGCACAAGCTTTGAAAGGCTCAATTTACTTACTCCTACAGGGCTAAAGGCAAGTCATTCATGCATGCCTGTATGCACTCTTTCTTGCACTTGCGTGCGCGCGCGCTCTCTCTCTCTCTCTCCCCCCTCCCTCTGATTCAATATGCCAATGTTCATTCTATATTACATCCCCATCTTATAGCTGCAAAATTCTGTTTCTAAAAAAACTGCTGCAGTAAAAAGAAAATAGTATCAGAAATGAAAAATCCTATAGGTCTGATTAAAAAATTGCACTTACTCACCCTTGTTTCAAGTGATTTTTGTTAAAAATGATAAGCAGATGGCTGCTGCTCTGCATTTATAAATCTATACATCATGACATGTAGATCTTCTACAAATATTTAAAATATAAACAGCACAGTAAAAGCTGTAATATCTGGCACTGGATCACCTGGATAGTTCTGTTAACCAGAGGCTGAATATAATTAAAACAGTGGAATACTACGCTTCTTTTTTTTAACATTATATAAGGGGCAGTCAAATGAAAATGGGTCACCACACATAACTCACATGACGTGCAAGTTGGTAGCACTGAAATTTGCTTACAGTACAAACATCTCATGGGGACTCAGGAAAGCACAGTGACAATGTGCCTTTGCACACTAGTCATTTGTTTATTGTGCTGGAAGTAGGGTTACCGCTACATATCGTCATCCAACATCAGTAATGGAGGCAGGTAACGAAGAACAGCGAAGTGTAGTGGGCTTTTTGATTGCTGAAGGAGTAGCAGGATGAGAAATTCATCGTCGCATGTCTGTTGTTTATGGCGAACACAGCATGTCACGTTCGTGTTTGCTGTTGTGGCATAAGGGATACCGAGAGGGACGTGTGTCACTGCAAGATGATGCTCTCCCAGGACAGGCTCATCGTGTCATCACTTCTGATGTTACTGCTGCGTTGGTCATATCCGGGCAAACCGACGGATCACTGTGGAAGAAATTAGTCTTTTGATGGGAATAAGTCACTGTTCCATACACGCCATTGGGACAAAACACCTGCTGTACCACAAAATCTGCATGCAGTGGGTTCCACATCAACTCACAGAGGAAAAGAATACTCAGAGAATGGCTGCATCACTGGGTCACTTGCAATGATACCATGAGGAAGATTATGCTTTTCTGTCCTGTATTGCCACTTGGGATGAAACGTGGTGCCACCATTTTGAACACGAGAGCGCCAACAGTGGAAACACATGAATTCTCCCCAACTGAAGAAATCCAAAGCCATAAACACAAGTTCCAGTAAAGTGATGATGACGATGTTCTTCGACTGCAAGGGTCCTCTGCTTGTTGAATTTCTCGAGCATGGGGCCACAATCAGTGCACAGCACTATGAAGACACTTTGCAGAAACTGAGACGTGCCATAAAGTCAAAATGTCCTGGAATGCTACCGAACGGCACTGTCCTTCTTCATGATAATGCGCGCCCCCACACTGCCAACTCTGTGAGGAATATGCTACAGAATTGATTGGGAAGTACTTCAACATCCCACCTACAGCCCATATCTCTCCCCTTGTGATTTTCACATATTTGGAGACCCGAAGAGAGACATTCGTGGACATCAGTTTGCATCAGATGAAGACTTGTGTGGCTGGGTAAAGATGTTTTTTCCGTAGAGAGCCCATAAGCTTTTTCAAGGATGCGCTTTACCGTCTTATCTCCCAGTGGCATAAATGTATTAACAGTTTTGGAGATTACTTTTGAGGTAAGAAATGTTCTTTAATATGTTTTGGCTTTTGACCCGTTTTCATCTGACTGCCCCTCATACACCATGCTACATAAGCAAAGACAAAAAGGGAATGGAAAGTGCAGCAGGGAAAACAGGACAAGTTATCAGGTAACAAATAAAATGGTTAGGTCTGTTCAAAAGGTTACTGGGTACATTAAGATACAGCCTAGGTATAACATTCTAATATGTGGAAAATTATGATATCTGGCAAACCTATGGTGCTGGATATCACAACTTTTACTATAGATGGATACTTAAAAACATTCCACTGGGAAAATTATTAGGTTACAATGGCCACATATGGAATTACAAGCAAAAACTGAATGTATTAGTAACAAAATCATTATGTTGCTTGTATGGAAAAAAAGTCACCTTAAGATGTAAGCTGCAGTTCCAACAAAGTCTCCCCCATCAACTACCAATATAGCATTGTCAGGCAAAATCTTCTCCACTTCAAATAGCACCTTCAATGGATTCAAATACTTTTCAGCTGGTTCTAAAGACATCTGAAAAACAGAGGACAGAACAGAAACAATGAGGACACAGAAGATCTTGAGCTCATACTAGTCTGTACTGATGGTAATGAGCGTGATAGTGATCAGTAGCTTCTCTAGATTAATTTACGAGGTCCTACCAGAAAGTTCCTGGACTAGGTCAAAAAAGAAATGCTGGCTTAATATAAATTTTGGCTGCCATCTTCAAAATAGTCTCCTTGAAAATGTATACAGTGACCCCATCATTTTCTTCACGCTTCAAAAGCACAGTGGAAGTCATTTTCCTTAATGCTTTTAAGCACTGCTTGTGATTCCCTTTGGATGCTGGACAGTGTGTCAAAACATCGTCCATTCAGTTTCATTTTCAATTTGGTAAACAAAGCAAATTCACAGGGGCTAAGTCTAGTGAGTAGGGAGGATGGGGAATGATAACCATGTTGTTGTTAATCATAAACTCTCTGGTTTTCAGGGATGTGTGGGTGAGCACATGGTCATGATGAAGGAGCAATGCAGTGCATGTTCAAATTTTCTGTTAAGTTCTCCTGGCAAACTCCATAACTGATCCAAATTGTGTCTGCGAGCTCGTGGATTGCTCAGCGACGGTCTTCGTGGATGAGTTCTGAAATTTCTTCAACATTTTCTGTCGTTTTGTTTGGGCTTGGTCGCCCTGAACATTCATCATCTTCAACCAACACTCGAATGGGCTTGAAACGTGAACGTCATTCAAAAACTGCTGTCCGTACTGAGCTTAACGCAAAATGTGATGCAGACACACTGCTTGATTTTGCCATCCATCGCGGGGGGGGGGAGAAAAGAAAGAAAGAAAGAAAGAAAGAAAGAAAGAAAAAATAAGTAAAAAAAGCACTCATGTAAAAACAATGAGTGTTCACAGCGTGGTATCACATGGCAGACTGATGCATTAGGCCTTTGGAACTGTGACCTTGACATCCCCTCTCATCTTCTTTCACCAAGGCAGTTAACAACAATAACGGTCAGGGAACTTTCCGATACCACCATATATATTCAAACCACTGTACTTATATGATGGTAATCAATGTAGTTATAGCACAATGTTATTTTAAAATGGTTCATACACATTTACATGAACACATGTGCAGACTTAGAACAGAATACTAACAGTACTGTAAGAGATTTGATCAACGCACTGTCAGGCAACAGCTCTGTAAACACAGTCCAACACACAAAAACAAACGAGGCTCTGTTTTCTGTGTCATCCACACCACACCCAGTGCTGGTAACGGACCAATAAACTCGCAGTCTGACATGCGACATGTGTTTTCTGTATGGTCAGCACCATGCAAACAACAGAGGTGCTGTTTTTTCTGTGCATGGTCCATGCCAAGAGGATAAGGAAAAATGTGGAAATGGGAACTGACTGGGCTTGAGTTCCGAAGTTCCAAGGGAACAACAGTGTGCCCAGAAGAAGAATTAGAAGACTTAGTGTGTGACGTTACATATGCTGTAGTACATCGATATTTGGAGTGTGTAATTTAGTAAGACTTTTACAGTTCCTGTGTTATAAATCCATTACCAGAAAACAGATAGTGAAGACTAGTGGAAACAGACTGAGAAGATTAGTGTGGCGTGATTGTAAATTGTGTATATCAGCAATAGTGTAACAGTTATTTGTAGTTATAACCTGTAAGTGGTTAATAAATCCAATTACCATCCAAATCCTGTCTTTAGTTACTGCTACACATGACAGCATTGTCATTTCTAGAGACTTGAATACTAACAGAATTTCAGATTAATTATTTTAGAATGTTATATTACCGCTCTGCACCAAAATTAGAAATTGGAACATCTTATACATCACTTTAATGGAATAGATCAGCTATAGGCTGGACTGGGGTTCAAACCATAGCAAAGGCAGGGATTTTTCTTTTAACCTTCTCACCATTTCACCACCATGTCTGAACCAGCCCTGCCTTATATCCGATTGACACCACAGTGCTTTTCCTAGGGGTACAGAGCTTAAAGCATAGGGCCAGCCACTCACTTTCATGGCCACCGCATCATCCTGAAGCACAGAAAACTTTTTACCTTACCTTGACCTATATACATCACTTCTCCTTTTAAAGAAATGCTCAATACATTCACATAATCTCCACAAGAGATGCTATACAAGTACAACAGTAACACAAAATCATCTGTTAGTGCCATCCTATATTTAAAGAAATATACAGTCGATGGCATAAGATGGTACATGCTACCTACATACTTTCCTCCATTGCTTCATATTTCTTACACAAGTAGAAATAGAATCAGTGAACTGTTTACACTAATTTACCTGGTTGGAGATGTTTTAATTTGTAAAACATTTCACACTTGACAGTGATCAACAACTGATCAAAATATGTCATTGTTTTGGGTGAAATAAACAAGCAGTAGTTATTTGAAGTGTTACCTGTGCATGTTCTGTGGATGGTTAATGAGCAATAATGACTTTCAATACAACAGGATGCAAAAGCTAGATATGCTCATGTGTTTTGAAGTCAACAAAAAAATGATGATTATGCTATCACACATATGAAAGCATGTTACCTTATGATGCTGTTCTTCTTTCTTTGCATCCCTGTCTTGAAGTTGTTGAAGCCATTCAGAGGAACATTTATAGTCCACAAGGAACAAGGACAATTCTTGCAGGAATGAGCCTACATCTGCACATACCGCCAATGAGGGTTTCCAGAACATATCAGAGTTCTGTAAAAACATGATATAAAATACTGTGTTAACATTTTGTTCCACATAATGTAACAGTACTGAATATATAATAAAAATGTAATCACAAGCATAGAATACTGCTGTGACTAATTTTTATAATTTAATATTTTGGTTGACCTCTTTAACTGGTAGGTCAGCAAAATGTCTATGCTGACTTATATATCTATTCAACAATTTGATATGAATATACAGTCAATACAATCCACAGAATATGTCGGTGACAATATGAAATCAACCCACTCAAATGATTAATTTAATCATAAATAATGAATTGCAGGTGCAAAAATGGTCTGAACCTCAATGAAGATGGATAGAACAAACTATATGAAAACAGGAGAATACCATGAACATAAGACAGTACAGCTTTGTCCTTATATAAACTGACAGCATCTTGAACATGCTGCAAGAGTTATGTGTAGTCAGTTTTACTGTGCATCATTGTTCAATAAGGCTGAATCAAAGCATTTTGGCAATGTCATTACCCTGTACAGCTGGTCCTTATCCCTATTCACTGCTATCACTGGAACACCTCGTGGTAGAACACGCCCATACGAGAGACGGAAGTCACAAACTGTGCCTGCCAGAATCACTAAATCAGCCTCTTTCAGAGCTTCTTTCCGCTGATGCCTCATCTGCAGCTGACTGTTCTTCCCCAGTAGGCCTCGAGACATACCACCAAGAAAACATGGTACACCAAGGGCCTCCACACTTCTGCGGACTGTGTGGATGGGAGTTGGTGGCAAAGTTGCCTGACTTCCAAGTAACAGCAATGGACGCTTTGCTCGAGAAAGTAATTCAGCGCTCTTTTGAACTAGTAGTGCAGACAAGACAAATGTTGACAATATCAGTACAGAGACTTAATTAAGTATAAGTGTAACTACTGTCAAATGCATCAATACCATTATATGCTATTTCAGCACTCCCATGTTGTCTCGGGTATTTTTCATCTAAATATCTCTTCTTTTAAGGTAAACAGAAAGCATACACTGAATATAAAGTTTAAAAACTTTTAAATTTTATGGACAGTTCTACAGTTCCACCCAGCTTGTTACATATATGAAACATGACATTTACCCTCCATGTTATCCATTGTAATAACAAACAGAAACAGAAAACTAAGTCAAAATTTTGTCAAGGGACATTTTTGTCTTCATGATCAACAAATCACATGGTGGAGACAAAAGGTGTGAATATCCAAAACATATTGTCAGACTGCATTCAAATTTAATGATGTTTTCCTTAAAAATTTGTGGAAGTCAAAATATTATCAATGGTCATTTTCATTTCAATGTGTGCTAATGAACTACATGGTGGAATAGGTATGCGTCGATTTCCCAGCATGCTGTATATAAAAGGTTAACACTTGGTATTCTGTTGTTCCATATGTTACAACTTGAAGTTAGTAATAGTTATGAGCAGGGTCAAATGATAGCAACAACATATAGCAGTGAAAGGTACATTTGAAACAGTACTGCAGTTCAATGCATGCTCCAGATGGCAAACATCAGTTTGTGCATACTGCTGTTCTATATAAAGTTTATCTTAGTGTTATGGCCCAAATTTGAGATTGAAGAGGGTATGGTATTACCCAAAAGCTAGAGACTTGCGAAAAGAGTTTCGCAGCTATTGCCGTAAATTGTAAACACCAGGACTGGCAATTAGGTTAAGAATGTGACTGCACAGCAGGTCTCTGTCATCACAGAGCAATAGCTTACCTCACTCGTTCACTGGATTTAATCGTAAGAGACTGCTTACGCAGCAATAAGACGCA